AACAAAATCGAGTGAGGTACCTGGTGATAAAGAACAGAAGAAGGCATGCGATTAATGAGATAGCATGTGGTGAGAAGAGTATCACCCCAAAACTTGTAGGGAACATTGTCATCAATTAACAATGTTCGAGTAGTTTCAACAAGGTGACGGTTCTTGCGCTCGGCTAAATCATTTTGTTGGGGTGTATGAGGACAAGATGTTTGATGAACAATACCATGAGACAAAAAGAATTGTTGAAATTGATGAGATAGATACTCACAGACATTATCACTATGAAAAGTACGAGTAAGAATTCCAAACTGAGTTTTGATTTCATTATAAAATAACTGAAAAATAAAGAATAACTCATAACTATTTTTGATTAAAAATAACCAAGTACATAACGAACCATCATCAATAAATGTAACAAAATACTTGAACCCTAAAGAAGAAGGATGACGACTCGGCCCCCAAATATCAGAATGGACCAAAGAAAAAGGAGACAAAGCTCGACGACCAAGATTACTTGAGAACATACTACGAGTGTGTTTTCCAAACTGACATGACTCACAATAAAAATTAGAAAGAGATGATAAATAAGGTACCATCTTCTGAAGCTTGGCAAGACTTGGATGATCTAAACGAGCATGGATCGTAGGGGGGAGTCCACAATAGAGCAAGCTGAAGAATAAGGAAAAATGTGATAGAGACCGTGAGACTCACATCCTCCGGAAATCACCTTCCCTAAACTCCGATCCTGCAAAATGACATAAGTTTTTGTAAAGAAAACCACACAATCAAGGGATTTGGTCAAACAACTAATGGAAAGTAAGTTAAAAAGGGAATCAGGAACATAGAGAACATGATCCAGAGATAAAGAGAGGAAGAAAAGAACCGTGTTGATCCCACGAGATTGGACCATAGACTCATTGACCATAGTAATAATAGGAAATGAAATTGTAGTACAAAGAGAAGTGAATAAAGACTTATTACCATAAATGTGATCAGAAGCCCCAGAATCAAGAGTCCGAGGGCCTAGAGATTGAAAATAAGAGATCCAAACAAAAGAATTAATAGGTGGAGCAATTGAGGTAGTAGATCCAGATGATTGCTTCTTAGACCACCAAGTCGCAAATTCATTAAGAAGAGATGTAGGAGGTTGTGGTACAGAAGGCAACCCTGGATCACGAGAAATAGAAGGAGCCTGAGGAATATGAGCAGTCAAAGGAGGCTGAGATGGCTTACCGAGGAGCTTCCAACAACGATCAACAGTGTGATTGGTCTGATGACAATGAGTGCAAAGTAACCAACCTTTATTGGGTTTATGTTCACGACCATTAGGACCAATCAGAAACTCAAAAACATAAGAGATGGCAGTAGAACCCATAATCACAAAAAAAAAGAGACCAAGAAATCAGAAACGTCAGATCACAAAACTAATTGGAATTAGGAGATCTGTGCATCACCAATATCAAGGTCAAAACTCAAAAACAAGACCAGATTCAAAACCATCTCGGAGAAGGGAGAAAAACCCAACCAATCGCCGCCGGAAAAGTTCATCCACACGCCGACTAACTGAAAGGAGGCGCGTCACTTCCACGCGCACGTGAGGGCACGTGCATGATAGTATAAAGATAGGACTTGGACATAAAAGATCAAACAGAAGAGACGATCAGAACGGTATGTGGTTTGCCTGGAAAACCCACCAGACCACAGTGGTCAAAGGTGGAGGAAAGACGGTCAACGGGTTTCAGACGGTGGTTCTCGATGAGAGATGGTCGGCAATAGCGCTGAGACGACCTAAGAACAAATGAGATGTCTGGAAACTGACAATGAGATAGTATCCAAAATTGTTTTTGAAAAGACGATGAACAGTTGGTTCACCGAAGAAAAAAAACGAATTAAGGTTCCTCTCGTTAGGCTCTAGATACCATGTAGAGAAACAAGAGACGAAAGGAACATTGAAATAAATTCGTCGGCAGCCAACAAGAGTCCCGAATAGAAGAGGGGCTACATTAAGAGTTTTATATATATCTCTAACACGCCCCCTCACAAGAGAGCCCATTGGGCTTGAAAGGTGGATGATGCATCAGGCCAAGCCTATATGTGCTAAGAAATTCCACAAAGAAAATAGTGAGGGGGCGAGGATCGAACCCGAGACACCGAGGCTCTGGTACCATATAAAGAACCAATTCAACCCAAAAGCTTAAGTTGTTGGGTAAGGCTATAATAATGATTTTATATATATCTCTAACACAAATAATTCTTCTTTTTTCTGATGATCTTTATTCAAATACTTCAAGGTTTAAATAGATAATGCAAAATAACCTTAAAAATAACTACTCGCTAATATTAGATAGGCTCCATTAATAGTTATGACCTATCATTTAGGAAAGTTGAAATTCAAATAACTACCTACTACTTAAATAACCCAACAAATCAGAAAATAATAAAAATAACAAACTCGTAACATTCTCTCCCCCAAAAAATTATCTTGTCATCAAGATTAAGATCAAGATCAAGCAATTGAATCATCTTCAATATCCATTTTCGCCTCTCTGTTACTGTTGATTGGAAAATATCCTCTAGCCACAGCTCTTTCTTTTCTCTTCTCAAAGAATTTTAGAAGTGAATTTATCATTGGATATCTCATGTCTAAACCGAGAACTTGGGGTTTTGATCGAGGGGTCTTGTTTGATTGAGACACTTTTGTTTAGACATCGGTCCCTTAAAGTCGACGCGGAAGCGTTTGCAAGTTGGAACGTCGAGCTTGGAGCTCGGCAATCAGAAGTCGGCCTGGGGTCACCAGGACGACCTTACCAACTAAAAAGAGAAAAAATGCAGAAGGAGAGAGATAAAGAGACAATCAAATTTTTAACGTATAAAATCTTCTTCAATGTAAAGAAGTAAAAATCATGAGACACTAATTCAAAATATCTTTCACTATGTCAAAAGAAAGAATACAAAGAGACAATATTCCCTAGTCTTTCACTAGAGGTACAATCAAGCATCATCAACAATGGTGGTATTCTCAAGCTTCCATAAAGAGGTCTAACTCAAATTTCTCTCTAGAGGTTATCACATAGGTAACCTATTACAAATGAATTCAAGGGGTTTATATAAGGTGAGGGAACCCTTCACCTTCTTTCAGAATCTCTTCACAATGGTGAGGAGGTTGAGGTGGTTGGGCTGTCTTAAGCCCTGCACCCAATAAATGAGAGTGAATGCCAGCATTAATAGAGGAACACCACCCTTGAACTTTGACCGCATTCACATTTTTAATAGCAATGGTAGTGTTAAGGGGGGTTGCTCGTTTGGTGGAGATAGAAAGAGAGAAGTGTTTGGGTTTGGAAGCATCGAGAATGAAATGAGAACAATGGAAATGAGAGAGTTTGGTGGTTGGTACTAGAGCATCTAGCTGATTGGAGAGTTTGATGAATATCTCCTTCAATTGATTGGAGAGTGCATGAATTGCATCTTTTAGTTTTTCCAAACATTTTTCCATGCTTGGTGCCTAGCTCTGATACCAAGTTGTTACGTACACCTATTTTGAAAGAAAATAGGGGATTTGAGTTCAACCGAGAGAACTCTGGCTCAAGTACATAAACAAGTGCACACAAATTATACTTCTCTTTTTTGATAATCTTTATTCAAATACTTCAAAATTTGAATAGATAATACTAGACAACCGTAAAAATAACTATCCACCAACACTAGATAGGCTTCACTAATAGCTATGACTTATCCTTTAGAAAATGTGAAATTCAAATAACTACTCATTACTTAAACAATCCAACAAATCAGAAAATAATAAAAATAACAAACTTGTAACTCTCATTCCCACCACACTTCCGGACTCGTGCCACATTCAAGATTAGTTTCATAACCGGTTTAAATGATCGAAGCTTGTGAGAATACACGAAAAAGCCTACTCGCTTTAAAAAATAATTAGAATTGGTATAAAAAAAATCATGCTCGTTCTTTTAGGCCACTGGAACAGGTAGCATTAAATGCCAAATTTGGATTAGTATCATTATAATGTAACGATGGAATAAATTGTAAAAATAATTATGATAAAACTCATAGCTGTTTATGTAATTTAATTTAGGATTTTATACTTCTCATGTAATATGAAAAGATAAATTTTTCTTCACACTCTTTGATTTTCGTGCTGAGATGGACCTCACACATGACTTTTTCTAACATATAGGTCCACATTACTTTTGTCCCTATAACATAAGAAGACACATTTCATATAACATAAGAAGTATAAATTCTTTTAATTTGTTTCTGCGTCACTCTCTTTTATAACAATATTATAAGAAATAACACAAATTTTACTTTATGCCGACAATTTTATATAAAGTAACCATGTTTTCTTAAATGTTTTTTTAATTGTAGTTTTCTTAAATTTATTAAGTCTGGTTTACATAGCAAAAGAAGTGTTATTATGGATAATTTCCAGATTAAGAACATCTAAAATGGGGTATTTTACTTTAAAATTAATTCAAATAGAATTTTAAAAATAAAAAAATAAGGAGAAAAAATATTCAAAATCATAAAAGAATATACTTAATTGATTTAAAAGATTTAAAACTTGAAATTTAAAAATAAATAAATAATAATGATACGTGCTATTCTTTTAAAAAGAATAGAACAAAATATTCAATCACTCCCATGAAAGAAAATAATCTCTAATTTTAAATACTGGGCATATAGGAAATATTATATAGACTTTATTAATCTCATGCAATAGGAGAAAAACTCTCTCATGTTCTAGAGACAAAATCATAAAATTGATGTATGTGTAAGAGAAAAAACACTATCCTACAATATAAGAGTATATTTTCCCGTATGATATTCCTGAAACGAGAAATGATCTTATACTAAAGACGTGATGGTATATGATAAACATCAAATATTCTTTATTGAAAAAGTGTTTATCCTTTTAAATAATATAACTTGTGTCATTTTACTTTCACAAAGGGGTAGGACCCACACCTTTATCTTTTTTTGTCCACTCTCTCTCATGTTCTATCTCTTTTTCTCTCTCATATTTTATTTCTTTCTCTCACTTAAAATGACACAACTTTATATCTTTTAAAATGACGTACACTTTTATCATTATTGGTATCATTTTAGTCACTCCCACACGGCATAGTCTTGGCCAGAGGCAGCAACACGGAAATTTGAGGGAATAAGATTTCCAAGGTCCATCTTGGGCCCTATCTTCATTATGATCTTGTTGTCTATCTCTGCAACATAAAGGTCAGCATCAGCTGCTAGAATGTTCACAGTGCTTTTCATATTGATCCCATTCCTCACCCTAATAGCAGTCAATTTTGCTATCTCCTCCTTCAGGCCCCAATCAAAGAAGTGATCATAGAACTGCATAACAAGAGAGAATAAAGAACCTCCAAAAAAGCAAACCATAATTTTCTATTCAAACATAAACATCTTTTGAATTAAAAAAAAAAAAAGACATTAAAAGTTAAAAGGTTTGAGGAAGTACTATTGTTGGGTTCCCAGGATGTGTTAGAATATAAGCATATCCTTGCATGACTTTGTCAGATGGGAATGGCCAAATTTGTTGAGTGGAACCCGTGTCATGGTTGTCAATAAATGTTACAGCATTTTCTGGTTTTACACCTATCATCCCAGGTGGCTTACCATTTGAATCCTTCAACCTCCACAGTTCCCCTTGTACAGAAGCTTGAAGAATCCCTTTGGTGGTGAAATCAAAGGCAGTGACAGCACCACCTGCAGATTGAACCCAATTAACTAGTTCACCACGATGAGCATCTTGGTTATAGTTAGGCTTGTTATCTTGCCCTTTAGAAAGAGAACCCCAATTCTCTCCAACTGCAAAATCTGGTGAAGTTTGTTCCATATAAATTTTGGTAATGCTAGGGGCATAACCCTTCACAAAATCAAATCGCCACCCATCAAAACCAATCTCAGTCTTGAGCCAATTCATCCAATCAGACAACTCCCTCTGAACCTGTGGATTGAGATGGTCAATGTCAGGTGCACCTTTAAAGTCATCTCCACTATCAAGGTTTCCAGTGCCATCAGAATAAGCAGTGTCATCTCTGCAAATAAAAGATGGACCCCAATCAAGACGTGAATCTGCAGTTCCACCTTCAAAGATGCAATAAATCCCTCTCCCATCCTTCCTCTCAGCAGTTCTATGGTTGATGACTATGTCAGCTAGGCATTTGATTCCTTTATCATGGAAAGTCGCAATCAGGGACTTCAGTTCATCCTTGGAACCATACTTTGATGCATCAAGATCATATAGCCTTCCTGGAAGATACCCTGGATTCAAAGGGACACAACACAAACACTTAATTTTACACTTGAAAACCATATTTTGCCTAGGACAACCTTTTATTATATGGTCATATTTTTGCTAGAAACTTGATCATATATCAGGAAATTGAACGACACATATTATCATCATGCATTAATATTTCATTATGAGTGAAGCAGGTACAATTACAAAGACGAACCTTGAGAAGCAGCTGATTGAGAGGGAGGAGGAAGCCAAACATGGGTAATTCCGGCATTTGCTAGGTCAGGAATGGAGTTCTTCAGAGAGTTGTACCATCCTCCTTTGCCACTTGATTCCCAGTTGAAACCCTGTGACAACATTTACCATGTTCATGCAGAGTTAATTACAACTGTGTGTTTTAATAAGGTTGCTTGTTAAGTGTGTGCATTTGTGTTGATCAAAGTTAAAGACAAAGGGATGTGAAACCTGAAACAGCAAGGCAGGGGAAGCGAAAAGGGGAAAGAGTGAAAGACAGAGGAAAAAAATGATGAGCCAAAGGAGGGAATCCATAGTTTCGGTTCTGCGGTACAAAAAGTTTTCTTCGGTTGTGCCTTATATAGAGGCAGCGTTACCTGATTTGCGTTTCAAAAGAAATCTGATTGCGTGTTAAAGAAGTATATTAAAACTTCAGAGTGAATATGAAATGGAAAATTCGGGGTTTATTAGAGATATGATCCAACGTGTGGGGGCTTCATAAATTGTAGTATATAGGGAAAAATATTCTGAGAAAAAAAAAAATGATGTGATCGGTTGGACAATTGGAAAATCTTTCAGGGAAGACCAAGAGTTGTTAATATCGGAGTAGTGGGAAACCAAGTGAAGAGTCAAAGGTACACAATTTTAATGGTGTTTGAACCAAAGACGTCAGTTTTATATATATATATATATATATATATATATAAACAGAAAAATATTTCTACAGTTAATCCAGATAAGTTATCTGTATTTACTTTCAAAACGACGTCGTTTTGGGATTGAAAGATTAGAAAATTATAATTATAAAGATTATAATAACCATGAAATAAATTAAAATTACAAAAATATCATGATTTCCGCTCCAATACGACGTCGTATTAAGCTTACTGCAGATAACTTATCTACAGTAGTAACTGCAAAAAAAGCGAACCCATATAAAAATGGGAGCGTTATCCAAATCCTACATCACTAGACCAATCTTAATGGCTTAAACATTAGCTTTTAGCTTTTAAGCTAGTCATTCCTTTACTGCTCCATGTAAAGAAAGCAAGTTTGTATTCATTTTGCAGTTCGCAGCTGATTCCTTACGCCTTGGGGTGCCTTAATTTTCAAAGAATTGCGTGTATTTATTTAGAATAATGAGACTTTAGAGCTCGTCACTACGCGGAGAACAACTTCCAAGCTTGACTAATAAACTGATAGTCTTCTCCAATTAGTTTTGCGAAGAATGTTACCGTTTATTAGGGGCTACCACTAAATGCAAATCTTCAAAGATTGACTAACCAAGCACAAAGGACCAAGCGGCAAGCCAATAAAATCCAGATTCCAGACATTAAAGAAAGCAAGTTTGGTATTAGGACATGATTTATTATATCTTTGTTAATTATTATAATTTTGTTGCACAAATCATTCTTTAGATCATGAGTCTAATATGAAAATAATACTTCCATATTTAATTGTGCAAATGGAAAGAACAAAGGAGAAACAACGATAACTGATAACATATGAACATAATGCTGGCATTAGTATTTTGTCGCCTGTTCTCTTTTTGATATGAACTGACTCTGATTAGCTTTTGTAGGCTCAAAGAGTTCAACAAGAGAGAGAATTCAATGCAGTAAAAGTAGGCAATAGGCAGTAGATTTAATCATTTTGGCCTATAGAAGGTAACATAGTAGTATGAATAGAAAATACAAATGACCAATAAAAAAAGAGGAAAATGAAATAAGTTAATAAACGAATTGATAATAGAATGAAGTTGATTACTTCTGAATTTCTCTCATGTTGAAAGACAAACAAAATAACGTCCATCAATTAAAAAAAACACATTTTTCGATATAAATACAACATGAGAATATGATTTCCCTAAAACGAAATGATACGAATAATATGAGAAGAATCAGTTTGGGAACCACCAGAGCCAGTTAAAATATATACCAAATCGAAATCTTCCGAGATTGATAAGTACTCCTTTTTACAGTGATAACAAGGCTCGAGTGTTTATATTGTCATCAGGCCTCTTCTATTGCAATTCACAGTATTATTTAAATTATTTGTCAAACTCTGGCTCTAAATGGCCAACCCAAACTTTTCAAGGTCCAATACCTTAGCCATTAAAAAGGAAACCAAGTGAATTCTGGATCTCTGGTGTTCATGTAGTCATGTCCAATACAAAAAACAAGGATTTCACATCTATTTTTTCGAGTACCTTAGCCCTGGGAAACGGATGCCAAATGGACTTTGAATCTCTAATAGCCGCATAAAACCTTATTCCATGAGTCGTCAAAAAGTAGAGCGCTAACTGCAAGATTAGCTCAGTTCATGCTCAGCACTAGTGGTTGCTTAGGAATTTTCACTTCTTCAAAACATTTTCTCGTTCATTGATTCCAAATGGAACCAGAAACGACGTTTCAAACAATAAATTTAGATTTCAATCAACAGATGAGGATTTCAGTATATATAACGAAACAATGATTTCAAATTCAACTGATGAATAGGCTTCTCCCCCTCCGCCAAGTTTAATAAAAGAATATCATCAATGTGGCTAATTTAGTGCCACCATACACTCAATACAAGTTAATTTTTCAAATAGTCCTAATAATATGTTTCAGCTGTGAAATTGCATCATGGGTCCAATGGGGAAATGACTATTTATAGACTTCATTTGGAAAATGGCAATGAGTGATGCTAGTTAACATTTATCAACAGCTAGGATCACAATAGATTAAAACTGGGTAGATGTTGACTCTAGAATTTATCTTTTTAAAATATAACTGGAATCAATTGTACACAAACAGGGACACTAATACAGTTCTGACCAGTGGTTGAGTAAGAAATGCTACTCTGGCAAACATGAATCCCATATTCAGCACCGAGGCACATAAAAAAAGTAAACAATTGGGGACAAAACATGAATCCTAGCATTCACAATTATGGAGTTTAAGTGATAGGCTCAGCGATTCATTCATTCAAGTATTAATGACAAAAAGAATAGAAAGGTAACTCTAAATAACGCATGATGAGTTAGTTTCCAACTTGAAACATCCAACTACAGTAGAATAAAAGCCTTTGGTAGATTTGCAGAACATTATCTAAATATCCTTTTAGAGTTCAGAATTATATTAAACTCACGAACCCCCTACAACCTCAGCAATAATAATCCATATATTTACTACAGATATAGTCCTCAGGTTTTGATGTTATCTATTTATTTTGTTTGATTGCTTCCAAACGATAATTCAAGCAACCTGGTCCAAGTACTCACAGACATCTCTGCTCACATCTTGGAAGGTTTTGGGAAGATATCCGGAGTGAATTTCTGAGCTGCACTCAAACTTCCCTTGATCTTCATCGCACCCCTGAATCCATACACCACCGCAACAGATACAAGCACATGAATGCACAATAAACAAAGAAGAAAATAGAGGGAAAAATAAAAATCATTACAAAGAGTGAACCTCATGAAAGCAATCTGCGGGTTCATCTTCCCCAAGGCAATCTTAACAAAGTCCTCATCCTTAAATGAAAAAGATGCATCAGGCTTTCCTCCTTCATATGGCCCTAAATATATGAAACACCCAAATAATCATACTTGACAGCATTGTAGATTAAAACAATACAATTGGCCAAATTAAGTAGAATTGTAGAAATAAGACTGTACTGTAGGAAGCATCTAATTCTTAGCAAAATCTTAAGGAACATTTTGAATGTCTATTCTATCTCTGTTACACAGAAGGAACATTGTTTCATACGAATGCCAGAACAGTTGAAAAGGGAAAAGAAAAACAAAGCTAGCTAACCTTTGGTGACCTCTCCTTTCTTGAGATCAACAGTATAGACAACCTCGTCGAATCCAATTTTCTAGAAATTCATGTCATGTAGTTAGGATTAGGTTAAATGAAAAGCGAAAAAAAAGAATAATAATTAATAAAGATAAAGAAAATAAAAAAAAAAGGGGGACCTTAGGTGCAATATGCATCTGGTAGACGAGTCCTATCTTTTTGATAAGATCTTTGCCTGCGTCGGTGGCCAGATGCTGCTTCATCTGCTCCATCATGGCGTCTGATTTTAGGTTCGACGAATCAGCCATCGATTCTGCTTCACACTAATCAAACAAAACGTACAAGTTTGGTTCTCTACTTATTCACCGAGTCGAGGTCGCTGGAGTGGGACAACAATTTTTATAAGATTTGGTTGGAGTTAGGAAGATGTCATTTATTTATTTTTGAGTAAATTTAACCGATCATAATAATTAAAAAAAAAACTATATCTAAAATTATTATCATATTATTATTAAATAAAAATAAGTGAGGAACTAAATATGCACGAGTGATTAATAAAAGCCGATATAGTTGGTAAATAGATGAATTTATTAATTTGGTAGATAGACGGGATTCGCTTCGGTGATCTCAGATTAATTTTTCTAAAAACTGTCAGAAAGTATCGTGTGCTGGGGCGTTCTGCACAATCCGCGTTCACTGTCTCCTCCAGGGCTAGTAGTTTACATCTCAAGCTTTAAAATGACGTATGACACATTTCTATTAGACTTTTGTGGAGAAGAAGTTTTTTTTATCCGAAAATCTCGATTTTTATTAATATAATTTTTATATTCAGTTTACGATAATATTCAAAAAATAAAAATTTAAAAAAATTTGATTTCTCAAAAAGTCTGAAAAATACCGCCTACCAAACGTGCCTCCGATTATCAATAGGAAAATTTCTCGGGATATTTGCGCATGAGTGTTGAGAACGGGATATGATCGGATGAGGCCCATCCATTACACACATTTCAATGTGGATCCGTTACCCACGCTCCATCTCATAAGCTTCCTATGATACATGGGTTATATGGGTTCTCCAGAACCTCCTTAAATGTAATGGAAGTTCATCTTTTGGAATTTCTTTATTAACTTCAATAGAACCTCCTTGAAAAAAAAAAAAAAAAAAGAGTTTGAATAAAATTAAATTTTTTTAATTCAAGTGGTTCATGTTTAATTTCGTTTAATCAAGATCTTGAGTTTAAGAAATTTTTTTTGGAAGAGCTAGTTCCACCATGATGTATGAATATTTCCACCTCAAACAGAATATTTGTGATTTATTAAAAAAAAGAGAGCGGCTAAATTACAAAAAAAAAAAACCACCTTGTATTTAGAGTTTTTTTTTTCAAAAGACCACCTTATAGTTTTAATCCAAACAATTAACCCCCTTATACAATTAAATCACAACTATTAATTATACTACAATTAACCCCCTTATACAATTAAATCACAACTATTAATTATACTTCAAAAGTTTAATACAAAAACACCCTTCTTATCAATCTTTCTAATCCACATTTCTCCATTTAGGTGCAGCATTCTTGCATTCTCTGGTGGCTTTGGATTTTTAAGTTACAATTTTTTCTCTCTCTCTCAAAAATGGATTTTGTTTGATTATCACATTGAGCTCTTCCCATGCTTGCAAATACTATTGGGTTTGTGGATATCTTTGCTTCTCTCTCAATGCTTGGTTTTAATGGATCTATTCTTTATTTAATTTTATCTAACTAAGATTTGTTTCATAATACCTTGGAGATATCGATTTCTTATGTAGATGAATGCCCTCTATACTAATAATAATAATAAAATGTTTAACATCACTGCACTTGCGTATAATTTGCATAAATATGCATGGATGCTCATTTCGTATGAAATTTCAATTTGGGTTTGCGTCTAGGTCTGCTGTATAGAAAGAAAGGATAAATGTTCTAGTGATCGGATGTGAAGCAGCGCAACTTGAAATCCAATTTGATAAAATCAGTGTTATTAAAATCGGACCGGCCGGTCCGACCGGTTGGCCCGAAAACCGGCCTGGTTACAACATTGGATTGGTTAAGTAATCAACCCGGTATTGACCCAGTGACTCGGTTATAAACCGCGGTTCAACCGGTAAATCAGTACCGATTTTCTCTTCAAACCGATTTTTCAAAATTAGTTACAAAATGTTTTTTTTGCAGCGAGTGAGATTAAAACCCAGCACATTGGAGTGAAGAGAGCTGTTTCATGCCACTAGGCTACCATTATTGGTTGAATAAATTACTCCATTGCATTAAGGATATACAACATAGCAAATACCACTAAACTATATCAAATTGTTGTTTTGATGGCACTATTTAAAATATTTATTATATAATTAAGTATAAAATATAAATTTATATATATATCCAGTTCATGCGGTTGAACCAGTGACCCCACCAGTTGAACCATTGACCCAGTGACCCGGTACCTCGACCGGGTCAATGACCGGTCTGATTCTAATAACATTCCATAAAAGTAACAAATGAAGGGGTTGATAAGGAAAATGGTATTTTTGTATTAAATTTATTAAATATATTTAATTGTTGTCATTCAATAGTACAAGGAGACAAATTGTTTGGATTAAAAGTATAGGGTGGTGTTTTAAAAAAGTCCGGCGGTTTTAGGGATATTTTTTTTCTTAAAACGGAAGAGACAAGCAGACCTAGAGATCGCACTTTGTCACTCCGGTTTCATTTAATTGAAGGTTAGCCCACGTTAGGTTCTAGGATTGTTCTTATTGGGCTTTAAGAATTTGGGCTTAAACGCATTATTAATGGTCAGGCCAGCCTAAGACCAGTGGAGTCCAAATCAGTCTTAAGTTAAACCCATATGAAGAGTCTTATCAACCCATATTTAAATGGAAAAGAATATGTAAATGTCTTCAAGATATTTTAGTCTCCATTTTTCTATTAATTCAGACTAAAATATCTCATATTCCTCCCGTGTCTTATGTAGATATGTATCTTCTCTGTATCTTGGAAAGATATGCGCTTCTGCTCCATTTGTATTCAAAATAATTGCAAATCATTAGTCCTGATGCTTTATGTCCTGTCCAATTTAAAAAGAAAATAAATTGATGAAGACCGTGCTTCTTTTTCATTTCTACAACGATGGAATTTTATTGGAATAAAATAACCCGGTTCTGTCCATCTTTATATTAAAAAATTATATTTTAAAAAATCAATAATTAAATAAGAGATAAAATATTATCATTTTAAAAAATTATTGAGATGTTATTTTTTTAATTGGTTTTATAAGAGTTATGTTGTAGGAAAAGTGATTGTGTAATGTTATAGAGATTTGTTTTGCGTGCCAGAATTTTTCCTTTTTCTTTTTTCTTCAAAAAGTGTGGGCCCCACAAAATATTGTGTGTGTAAGAAAATTTGTTGTGTCATGTTAAATGAAAAATGCAAACCTTTTTTTAATTGCAGACAATTGATTTGAATTCACGGTTATTAGGGACAGAAATAAATTAGATCATATTGGATTTTGTTTAAATAAGTTTAAGAATGTCTCATAAAATGTCAATCTAGACATAACTTGTTACTTAGTGCCTGTTTGGATCTTTTTTTTTTTTAAGCTAGAAGTTATTTATAAGCATAAGCTAAGCCAAACAGGTTTTGAGAAAAACTCTTATAACGAAAAGCTCTTTTTTATGATGAAGAAAAAAATTGAAAACTAAAAGTTACTAGGAAGAACTTTTTTTAAGCTCTTATATGTTTTTCTTGAACTGTGTACTTTTTTTTAAGCTCTTATATGTTTTTCTTGAATTGTGTACTTTTTTTTAAATGAAGAGTGATAAAGATAGAGAGAGATAATTTTCTTGAAATATGTGCTTTTAAGTAATTTTTAAACTAAAACTTTTATGTAATTTCTAAACAGCTTTTAGTTTTTTTTTTTAAGCTCTTTTTTTTTTAACTTTAGCTTATAAGTAGCTTCTAACTTAAAAATAAGAGGATGCAAACAAGTTTTTATTATAGTCTCTTTTTTAGAGTGCGGTTTGGTATTTTTTGTAAAAATATAAAACATATGACCTTAACTCAAAAGCACATTTAAGTGTCTACATTACATGAAAACCTTTAAATAAGTCGAACAAATGTTAAACTTTATAATTTAACCTAAATATGATAGTTAAAATTTCGATTTAAATCTGCGATTTTACGATTTTATTAATCAAATTGATTTCATCAAAATTTCAAATGTTTTTATGTTTTTACAATTTATTTTATGTTAGAATTTTACGTTTTACAATTTTTTTATTCTCCTTTTGATTTTAGGTGAAATCTTGATTTTAACTAGGTTAACCTAATCCTGAGAACATCTCAGCGCTTCAAGAAAATAGGCAGAAGAACCTCTTCCGACGTATCTGGATTTTATCTGGCAATAAATCCCACTTAGGGTTTACATCCAAAAAAAAATCAAATCATATCTATCGACTATCGTAACATAAGACACATGAGAAACTTGAACTCTTCGTACCTATTCAAATGATCACATCCGTACGGTGACTGATGAGTATGAAATAGAAGAGGAGACAATGTTTCATCTTCAGAATACCAAAGGCTAAGCATGATAACCGACGGGGATCAATATTCAATGACAAGGTCAGGTTCAGTGGTCCTCATAACAAAATTAGAAGAGGAGTGTGGTCCTAATTTATAAAATATCAAAACATTGCCAGAAGAGACAGTATCAGTGGTTTAGGGCAACTAGTGGGGTCCCGTAACAAGAATGAATAGTCTACCAATACATATGTGTCAGGGTGCTTGAACTTAGCTTAGAAATGACCCCAACAAGAAGCATCACAAATACGTGGCTTTCTTGTAGCCTCTACCACATGCAAGTCATGTTACAAGTTGGTTACTTGTCTTATAGTCAAAACACATACAAAGTGTCATTGATACTTCCTTTTCTTTCACAAAAGAATGCTACATTATGAAATTTAAACAGGGTGCCAATTTGCTGCACAATTGCTTTCAATTTTAATTTTAATTACGCACACAACTAGATTTAACACAGATAGAGGAAGAGAAATAAAAGCCCTTGACTCAAAATAATTATCAAAACTCATGCTTTAAGAGATTAAAAAAAAAAAAAACCACCATCCCCATTTGAGGCTTTTCCCTTCTTACTTTCAGGACGCCTGGGGAGAGGATTGAGGATAGAGGGGGCAAAAATTGAAGTGCCCACCATAGCAAATAAAAATAAAAATAAAAATACAGGGTACAAATGGAAAAGATAAAGAAAAAGATTTGTGACTTTGGAAAGTGGATTGCTTCTCAGCTATGATATCATGCGTTTCTTCCCATGCTGCTTTTTCTAGCTGGTAGGTTCTCTCCAATATCTGGCTGGAAGTCCATTCAAAGGCAATGGGAATGGGCCATATTGAATCCCACACTGCGATCCCACCACTTCCCACCTATACACACCAACATCAAGCCCTTGAGTAATAACGCATGACATATGCACTAGCATCATCATTACGACATGAGTAATATGAGAGAATCTTAATCATTCATTTAGATATAAATCAGCCTAAATGAAAAAGAAAAACATTTTTTCATATTGCATAAGAATTCAATTATTATGTTGTGACTCTTCTACGTGCGTGCAAAGTTTTTTTTTTTTTTTCTAATAAATATGAGGTCCACTACTAATTCAATTTAATTATTATATAACATCAGAAAATCAAATCCCTAAAATAAAATCAAAGATGAGAAAAGGGTAATAAGTTATTTGTATATGCACTGCCGAGATTATTTCACGTGACCTCATGTCCCGTCGGATGATTCTAGCTAGGCTCACCCTGAGATCCACATTTTTTTAACTTTCTCTTAAGTAATAGATATGCTTTTACGTTGTCTCCTTGTTACTTCATACTTAATCATTATATTTCTTTAAACCACTCAGTTAATCTAATACTATAGATGCTTTTAAGCTGTCTCCTAGGTGTTAATAAAAAATCCATCGATTGCACTCTTTTTCTTTCTTTTTTTTTCTATTTTTTTTCTTTTCTATTAATTAATTTGACGTACCTGAAATTGGTGACCAAATGATGGATCATAATTAGAGTCTCCAGCTTAGCAAGCTCATTGCCGGGGCAGGCATGTACTCCACTACCAAATGGCATGAAAGTATTGGGTTTTGGTGCGACCTATAAGAAACAAACAACAAAAATAAATAACTATTCGTCTGTTTAGCAATCATAACATACCTTTTTCCGTACACACTAGTAAGATTCATTTGAGAGGGAATTAGTCTTATCCATGCATTATCATTACATTTTTTTTTTTTTAACCTATAGAGTGTTCACTCCTGCATACCTCAAATCTTGAAGGGTTGAATTTCTGAGGGTCTGGAAAAAATTCTGGATTGTGATGAATATTTCTGAACAGAGGCATTGCTTTCCAGCCTTTTGGTATCAGGAACCCTGTTTCAAATTCTTATGTGAGTCATTTATTTTGATGTGATCATATTTTAAAAGTTAAAACGAATGTTTTCACTTGGGACATTTGCAATTAGTAGTTTTTTAGCACCAGAGTCAAAATACTTGTCACATTTGCATGGTGCATTTTTTGACCCGAGAAAAGTCCTATATAGTCTTGCAAATGTAGGAAGAGTTTGGAGGTTCTGTTCTATTTTTCTTGGTTCCATCCTTTCAGTGAAATGAAAACCTATGTCTTGGTCTGTTTTTTAAACACACCCAACATTAAATAGAACAAAGTAAATATTCCTCTTACCCTTGTACTCTACATCAGCTACTGCTTCTCTGAAAGGGAATGATATAATGCTTGCCATTCTCAAGCTCTCTAACACAACCTGAGCAAGTCCACAGTTACCCATTATTAGATTAACCACTTGCAAAAAATTCACATCTGAGACATGCTTAACCACAAGAATCAGCAGAAACTTCTTGCATTTGTTCATTTACTTTTTATTTTGTTGCACCAAGTTGCTAATTAGAGATCTGTGCCCTTGTTTAGCCCAAGTGTGACATTGAATCACTTGCGTACCTTGTAGGTTATTGGCATGTTTCTAGTCTGACTCCAACTCAGCGGCAGGTTACCTTCATTTGACTTATGAATTGCCTTTTGCTCCACCTGCAAAGCCAGCATATATATTACCACAAACTATAGTGTTATCGAAATAAATATCTTAACACAACCTTTTCCAAAAGAGAAGATAAGCTCAAGTTTAAAGTTCCTTTATCTCTATTGATCATACCTTTACAGACTCTAGAAGTTTCGGTTCATCGTGGAGGTACTTTACCATCCATGTCATGACACTAGCTGTGGTGTCCTGAGCAGCAAAAAGCACCCCAATAATGTTATCTGCTATTTGGTCATCAGTTAAGACTTCTCCTTCCTCACCTTTCCAATTCAGTAGGCAGCTCAAGAGATCTGATCTTTCAAGCAATTTCTTCTCCTTCCGCTCACAAATTATTTCCCTTAAAATCATGCCAAGTCTCTTTCTTGCCTGTATAGAATAGATATATGTATTAGTACGGAAACCTCGACATCCCATCTTACTTCAAAAATTTAAAATATTGAATTTCACTTATATAGTTCTCACATAACTAATGTCAACTTTATCACCTATACTTAAAATTTCCAACAATTTATGCAGATTTGTTCAATTGAAAATAGAAGAGGAACAATCAAAAGAATGCATCAAGACATGAATTTGCTGAAATATTACTTACAGACAGTGCATTTTTGTATTGGGTTCCTGGGATGCGAGTTGGAAAGGAATTGTAGCCTGTGTCCACAATCCAGTAGTTCTTCTTTAGCTCTTCCCTCAACCGAGGCTCTAGATTTCCAAAAACTGCGAGGGTGCCAACTTCAAAAGAAAACTGCAACAAAATTCAAGCGTGGACCACTTAATTATTGACCTTCATTATACATTACACCACGCACTTATATATAAACATATATATATATATATATATATATATAAACAAATGCCAGAAAATGCGAAACTCCTTATTGCTTGAATATAAATAGTAATATAATAATGAATCCAATCATTAGTCCAGTGAATATAAAAACCTACTCTTTTCATTTCCTTAAATGTGTTAATGACGCGTCCATCACCCCAAGATTTCATGGCAGATATGGCTAAGGCTTCAATATCCGGCACCAAGTTGCGAAGTGCATCAAGGGACAGTGACCTCTGAACTAGCTTCCTCAAACGCATGTGGTACTCTCCTTGGTGGAAAAACAGGGCACAAGGGCCTATTAAAAGTTCCTTGCTTTTCGGGTATGTTGGCTTAAACAAATGAGCTTGAGTCACAAGCACAAAGCGTGCAGCCTCAGGGCTTGCCAGCATCACGCACGGGCAACCAAGGATGTTGGTCTTGAATATTTCGCCGTACCTTAAAAATTAACAATAATGTTTTTTTTTATTTATTACATTCATAACTTCATGCACTAAAGATATTAAATAAATATGAGCCATGAAACTGGAACTAGGATACCGACCTCTTCTTTTTGGTGGAAAAGAAAACATTTGGGTCTTGGGAGTAGAGTTGGAGGGTTTGTCCTATGTACGGCCATCCCATTGAACCTGGAGGAAGCTTTGCACTTGTCTGCTTTTGAGGTTTTCTGTTTCGTTTTGGTAACAACATGAATGAAAATAAGGTAAGCACAAGAAAGATAATAATGTAAGCAAAAATTTCATCCATTGTCATTAGAATTTAGAAGAGGCTCTTGTTTGGAAAAGTCAGAAGGTTAGCCTTTTCTTTTAAAAAAATATGAAATTTGCAGAATATTTTCAACTCTGCCAATTTGGACACATCAAGAGGGAAGAAGCAACCTTATATAGAAATAGCGCACCACCCCTTTAGCTTGAGATTATTGAGCAAAAAGATTGAGTTCTAATTTTTTTTTTTTTTATGGGATTTGATTTTTTTTCATGTTATGATAATTGAATTCTCGTGCTCTGACTCAACTAGTGGTGGGTCTCACATTTATTTAAAAAAAAAAGCTTTGTACGTAAACCTAAGAGTCACAACATGAGAATTGAATTCTCAGAAAATGTTTTTCCTTTTTTTATATAAAAAAAAGTGCGTCAAATGGTGGGAACAATAATTTTAGGGTTTTATTAATCTCATATTAAAGGAGATAAGTTATCTTATGTAATAGAGATAAATTTGTGGGCTCCATCGCCTGAAAAAATAAAAAGAAAAGAAAAAAAAAGTGGCATAGTTATCGAAGGGTGTGTAGAAGGAAAAACGTATCTCATGTAATATAAGAATAATTTTTCCCATATTTTTTTTACTAAATGATCTCACCAATTTAATAAATTTCATAACATCGGAATTATTAATGAAGACAAAGTACTTGTACTAGCCTGAATGAATACATATATTTTGATGAGCAGTATACTAGAATGAGTAAATATGATAACAGTGATACATATCCAACACTATGAATGAGAGATTATTTCGTAATCGGGCCGAAAACTTTTAGGATATGTTAGGAGCATCTGATAAAGAAGATAAGATAGAATAATTTATCATATTTTACTTTTATCTCTTATTTGGTGGATCAATAGGATATGATTAGTTTATCCTATTGTTTCATTTTATTCTATTCAATACATGATTTCTTATCCTATGAGAGGAGCTGCGTTAGGATTCAACAGGATATAATACTAATATTGGATACCCAATATATCCACACGTTAACCAATATATTTATATTTATTGTATTATATTTTATTTTTTCTTTCTCCTTTCTTCTTCTACATAATCTTATCAGATTGCTAATCAGATGCTCATCAAACACATGACATGATATAGGCTTATCAGCCCCATATCATATCCTACCCTTATCAGTCTCATACATAGTTATTAAAACCGGGTCGACCCGGGAACCGGTAAACCGGTCATATAACCGGTCCGGTTGAAGCAACGGAACGGCCATGCATCAGAACCGGTCCGACCTGGCCGGTTTTCATGAAAATCGATGACCCGGTCGGTTAACCAGTGACCCGGCCCGGTCTTAAAAAAAAAAATCATAATGGACATATTTGAATTTTTTTTGCTTATTAACTTACATAAGTTATGTACCTACAACACTAATATTATCTCAATTGTGCATTATGCAAATTATTTTGATTTGATTTATAGTTATATATGTCATTTTCTGAATTTATAGTCCTGTATCATGATCATTATATTTTTATTTGATCCTTTTATTGGATAATAGTATGTGATTTATTATTTTTTATATTAAAATATTTGAAATTTTTATTTTTTTTTTAAATATTTGAGTATGTTTATAATTTTTTAATATAAATTATAAAATTATATATAATTACCGGGTCATGCGGTTGAACCAGTGACACACTGACCCAGTACATTGATCGGGTCAATGACCGGGTCGATTTTAATAACATTGGTCTCATATCATATTCTACCTTTATCCTATCATGTCCACCAAACGAGCCCTTACTCTTTCAAGATCTTGGTTATGAAATCTACTGTTTGATTACTGACATTCTATGGTACATCTTTTGTAAAAAATAGCATGTGGATAAAAAGTATGGGTAATACTTCTCTCATTTAATACGAGAGAAATTTTTTTCGTACATTAACAAAAAATGTCGAGTCCGCAAATTAAAGAAAAATAAAAAAGAAAAACAATTGCAGGCACATCTTTTTATACCTATATGATATGAGCAATGTTGTTAAAATCGAGATTTTAAGTAAAATCGAAAGGAGACTAAAAAATCGTAATGTAAAAAAATCGTAGAAACGTAAAAGCGTTTGGAATATTGATAAAATCGTTTTGAAGAAAAAAAATTGTAAAAATGTAAAATCGTAGTGATAAATCGAGATTTTAACAACTGTGGATATGAGATAGTTATCTTCTACGGTTATAGAAAATAATTTCCCAAAAAGTATTTATAAGATATTTATTTGTAACTTTAGTCTTTGTTTAAGAAAATAAATTTATAAATTATACATTAAATTTTTTGCTCGTTTAAAGGTGCAATTTTTTTAAAATTACTATAATTAATAACAAGTCAACTTTTTGAAAATAATACAAGTTATTTATCAGTGTACTATTTTTTAATAAATGTGTTCAGTAGAAAAATTATAATACATTCTGTGAAATAAACTAGCAAGTGATGCAGCTATAAGTTCTAAGAGGAGAAAAACATTTATAACATCATTATTTTATAATGAATTTTTAACATAATAAATATTTATTTCTTTCATGCGATTTACAATTTTTGTAAACTAATTACAAAACTATATTTTATTTTATTTTTCAATGATTTATTATATGACGTTTAGCGGTAAATTTTTTTTTTTTTGGAGTTACCCAACCCTAATTACCTCTTTGAGGCGAGTTGGCTCCCTCCGGTATCCGACGTTTAGCGGTAATGAGTTATGGGCAATGTAACGATAAAATTGTTAAAAAAAAATGTAATGATAAAATATGTACATGAGTGTTTAGTCCCTATATTCATTATAATGGAGATACTTTAGAAAAATATAAAACTATTAATTTAGTATCACACAACAGCTTAAACTTTTGGGTTGAAATAGTTCTTCGATCACTTGGTATCAGAGCCTCGGTATTATGGGTTTGAACCTCATCGTTTTATTTAATTGATAAATAATCAAGTATTGCAGAGTTTGTTAAGCACAGGTAGGTGGGCCTATGGATTGTACACTCTTCAAGTCCAGTGGGCTATCATGTAAGGAAGCGTGTTATATAGAAAGATTCTCGTATGAAAGGACATGTTAGAGAAATATAAAATCATTAATATAGTCTCACCTAACAGTTTAAGCTTTTAGCTTTTTTTACAACGACCTATTTTGAGGTCTGACTGATTGTCTCTTAAGGAGTTGGTGTCAATTCCTTTTTTGTTATGGCTTCTGATTAGTTATGCAAGAGTTCGTTGGGATGTTGGCATTGTCCTTAGATGCCTATTTGTGAGCTATTTATAATATACTCTGTTAGAATCAATTTTGTGTCATCCCACTATTGGTTCGTGGAGACAGTGCCAACATATGTTGCTCCGACATTGATACGGGATACGAGACACGATACGACACGACACTCCAAAACGTTAGTTCTAAAAGATGTTAAATTTCGACACGTTAGGACACATTTTGATATTATATAATATTTTTAATTTATGTAGTATATATTATATCGAAAATACTATTATTCTGCGGCGGGAAGGAAGATTAGTATTTCCTGGTGAGTGATCAAAAATTGAAATCTTTTTCTTTTTTTTGTTTTGAAAAATAATGGGACCCATGCATGTTTGTATGTGTAGGAAAACTTGGTTATCAGCTGCAACATATGAAAAGTAAAGCCCATATTATATTTAGTATTCAATAATTTAACAAAAAATAATAAAGCTAAACTTATACTACCCATCAATTTTACAAAGAAACATAAGATATCCCAAATATTTATATTAAACTTAATAAAATCGTAATTGTAATCTAACGAATCTAATAGTTGAAACTCAAAATGCAACGCAACGTAACCTTTGAATCTTTTTTGAGTCTTTGCAACGAGTATTGGAGTGTCGGAAAGTGTCAGACACGACACATTAAGATTTTTGAAGTGTCGGTACTTCATAGGTGCCAACTTTGCTGGTCACTGAGACGATTGTGCCATTTTCTGTGATGTTGATCATGACCTTGCATTCTTGTGCGATTTTAGTGCGGCACACTGTGCAAGTTTACTTCATGTTCGGCAAGTGCATCGGTTACATAAGTAATAAAGTAACGAGTAAGAATATCGTTCCCGAGGATTAGATTTGAAGAACTAATTCGCTATTTCGCTTAAGTTAGACAATTTGATTAAGAGAATTAAATAAAAACTAAATTAAAAGCAAAGAAAGAATACAATAATAAATATTCTTAACAATCAAGAAAACACATTTAGGGATTCGATTTCCTCCTATTTTCCCTTTATGTTCTGAATTAAAGCCTTAATTAAATGCCATTTTTATATTGCCTATTGATTCCTCTAAATTAATTAAGACTCAATTCCTTGATATTCTAATTCTTTATCCTTTTAAAGAATCCTAGTTCCCTGATATTCTTCAAAGAAAATAAGCATTAAAATAAGAATCATAAGATTGCACAATTTTTATGTCTATCCCTTGATTTACACAAATTAACGATGAATTTACCAAGCCCCGTTCACACACCAACATTCCTATTTTCATGCACAAATCCTAATTCAATCTATACGATCATGAACTCATAGAAGGCATGAAGAAAAGGTAAAATTCATTCAATATAAAAGGAAAAAATAGCATAAAGACTAATTCAGAAACATAAAGAATCAACTGGGTTCCATCTAACCCTAACTACAAAGAAAATTAGCCAAACATGGTAAAAACAAGAAGATGTAAAAGATTCCCCAAAATCCATTGATGTGATGGCACAGTAAATCTTCGTAATCTCCACTGCAATCTTATCTCTGACTTGTATCTGGCTCTCAAAAGCATAAAAATCCAAGCAACAAACTCGCTTCCCCGATGTCCAAGGTGCCTCCCAGTGTCAAGAGATGGCAAAAGCTCTGAAGAATCACTTAAACATATGAAGGAATCCTTATTTAAGGAAAAAAAACATATAATGGGTCTTAATTGGATCTTAAACGGGTGTTACAGCACGCAAAAAGCTATGTTATGATATGTAAGTAGCACGGTATATCGCACTCAAGAAGA